CAGAACATGTGGCCTCCTTGCCCTTTTTGCAGGATCATAACAAATTGTGGATAACATTGAGAAGAATGGGAATTCCAGAACACTTAATTGTACTCATGAAGAACCTGTACATAGACCAGGAGGCTGTCGTTCAAACAGAAAAAGGGAACACTGCATGGTTTAAAATCAAGAAGGGAGTGCATCACGGTTGTATCCTTTTCCTCATACTTATTCAATCTGTATGCTGAGCAAATAATCCGAGAAGCTGGACTACATGAAGAAGAATGTGGCATCAAGATTGGAGGAAGAATCATTAACAACTTTCAATACACTGACAACACAACTTTGCTTGCTGAAAGTGAGGATGACTTGAAGCACTTACTGATGAAGGTTGAAGAATACAGTCTGCAGTATGGATTACCTCTCAATATAAAGAAAACAAAAATCCTCACAACTGGTCCTATAAGCAACATTACGATAAACGGAGAAAAGATTGAAATTGTCAAAGACTTCACATTGCGTGGTTCTACAATCAAGGCCAATGGAAGCAGCAGTCAGGACATCAGACGATGTATAGCACTGGGCAAATTGGCTGTAAAGGATCTCTTTCAAGTGCTGAAGAGCAAAGATGTCTCCTTGAGGGCTAAGGTGCGCCTGACACGAGCCATGGTATTTTCAATTGCTTCATATGCATGTGAGAGCTAAATAATGAATAAGGAACACCGAAGAAGAATTGATGCTTTTGAGCTGTGGTGTTGGTGAAGAATGCTGAAAGTACCATGGACTGCTAAAGGAACTAACAGGTCTTTCCTGGAGGAAGTGCAGCCAGAATGCTCCTTGGAGGCGAGAATGGCCAGACTTTATCTCACTTACTTTGGTCAAGTTGTCAGAAGGGACCATTCCCTGGAGAAGGATGTCATGCTTAGTAAGGTGGAGGGTTAACGAAAGAGGGGAAGGCCCTCAGCGAGGTGGATTGACACAGTGGTGGCAGCAATGGGCTCAAGTGTAGCAAGAATCATGGAGCTGGCTCAGGACCGGGCGGTGTTTCGTTCTGCTGTACATAAGGTCGTTATGAGTCAGAGATGACTCCATGGCACTTAACAACAACTGCAACAACAAATCTTTAATTTTCACTCCCAACCAACTCATATTAACATTCATATAACAGAACTACCTGACACTTCTTTGTAACTTTCCAAGTCAAGTACTCTACCTCTAGCAATAACAATAAGGTCCCAGCGTGGCACAAATGGTTTGCACTCAGCTGCTGACTTAAAGATTGGCAATTTGAAGCTACTCAGAGACACTGCAGAAGAAAGACCTGGCAATCTGCCTCCATCAAGATTACAGGCAAAAAAAAAAAAAAAAAAAACAACCTATTTGAGCAGTTCTAATATGTAACAAGCAAAGATGTCACTTTGAAGACTAAGGTAGACCTAACCCAAGCCGTGGTGTTTTCAGTCACCTCATATGCATGCATGTGAAAGCTGGACAATGAATAAGGAAGACCAAAGAAGAGTTGGTGCCTTTGAATTATGGTGTTGGCAAAGAATACTGAAAATACCATGGACTGCCAGAAAAACAGATAAATCTGTCCTGGGAGAAGTGTAGCTAGAATACTCCTTGGAAGCAAGCATGGCCAGACTTCATCTCACCTACTTTGGTCACATGGTCAGAAGGGTCCATTCCCTGCAGAAGGATATCATGCTTGGTAAAGTGGGGTGTGGGGGGCGGGTCAGTGAAAAACGAAAGTCCCTCAACAAGATGGATTGACACAGTGGCTGCAATGATAGGTTCAAGTATAGCAAGGGTTGTGAGGCTGGCACAGGACCGGGCAGTGTTTCCTTCTGTGGTACAGAGGGTCACTATGAGTCTCAGCTGACTCGATGGCACCTGGCAACAACAACAACATTCTGTAACAAATGCATGCGTTGGCGTGAGTCAGAGTTGACACAATGGCATCAGATTTGGTTTTTGGTTTATAGCAATAACAATTGCATTTTCTCTCTCCTTCCTCATTAAAAAAAGGGAGGGGGGTGAAATCGTATTTTTAGCCTCTTCACTACTCTTGACTTTACATATGCAATATTTCATTGATTTTTGAAAAGCAGAATCAGAAGATATCATGTATTAGTAAAATTGACCCTACCATTTAGTGATCATAAATGCACTCTTATTTCCAAAATTATAAAATGCAATCTTTGTTGTCTTAAATTGTACATCAGCTTCTATAACTTTGGGATATAATTGTGGATAGTTTTTCTTTCTTTGTTCTTTAAAAAAATTTATTGTGATTTGGGTGAAAGTTTATAGTGCATATTCATTTTCGATACAGCAGCTCACATACACTGTCTCATGACATTGACTGCAATTTTCCACAATGCAACAACTCTCTTCCCACTTCCTCCCCATAGTTACCTCTTCCCTTGTCCTTCCCTCCCATGCACTCCTGCCCTCCAAGCTGTCTCCCTGAGCATACACAGCCCTTCTGTTCTCCCATGATTGATCTCTCCAAGGAGTCGATCTACCTAAAGTAAAAGTTCAGCTCATATGCCTGTCTTTTGTTTGGCTGGAAGCCACAGGAATGGGTTCAGTTCCAGACCTGTAGGGCAGCTAAGGGCCATAGTCTCAGGGGTTTCACCAGGCTCAATCAGACCAGCAAACCTGGTTCTTTTTGTAGATTGTTTTCACTGACAGTGATCTATAACTTAATTTTAATCTAAAAATATTAAGCAAAATAAAACACATTTCATAGCTTACTTCTCCATTAAATATTTCTAAACTTTGCATGGTCATATGATATCATTCTTGACACCTATAATTATTCCCACATAGAATATAATGTATTGTTAACTATCTAAGCAGACTTAATACTCAGAAAGGAAAAACTTATCTTTCCTGTTCCAGGAAGAAGCAAACCAAAGCCACTGCCATTAAGTCCATTCTGACCCATGGTAACCTTTTTCTTGGAAGAAGTAGAAACTAACATTTTCTTCTAACACCTTTCCCTATACAGAAAAGAGCTGGTAGTGAAAATATATATTAACAACATGCATCTTTTGAAACAAAGTAAATGCATCAGATAGTCAAGTGTCTTCAAGCTCCTTGACCCAAGCCCTTTGCCTCAGGTCGTCACATTCTCTGGGGCAGTAGTTATGCCCTGTTGACAAGGCTTCAGATGAATACTCCAGCTTTAAAAATCAAAATACTCTCAACATTCTTATCTGTGACCAAGGAGAGGTGGGACAAGGGAACAGAACACTTTCAGTGGTTTCAGTATGACCAGCACTCATCTCTTAAGAGGTTCTCATGAAGCTTTAGCAAATATTCTTTCTATTTTTATAAAATTTGCTAATATTAAAGTACATCAAGCATAGTTTCTTCCCTCTTGGAGTTTACAGGTTAATTTTCTTCGGAGATTTTTTTTTATTGTTGACTAAAAGTGTACTCCTGCAATTGCGACATCTTTGTGCTTAGACTGCCATGAAACAAAATACTTTAATAATTAAGGGCAGCTTGGAAGCTGTTTTAAAACAAGGCGATGGCCAATGCAATTTATTTTAAGGACATATCACTCCCAGAGGAGACTATTCTAGGCTTCGGTCAGACGGTTGGCTAAGATCCTGTGGTGCAACTGAAGTTACTTCATCCGTTCAAGCTTGGGGAAGCGAGGTTCAAATTGAGGGGAGAGGAGGTAGGGTGGGGGGATGTGGAGAATGGGACAGAAGATGGAACAGATACAGCCTCTTGCCCCTAATGACCTCGTGCTGCAGAATTGAGGTAATAGCTTTGTACAAGTGGCTAGCCTTAATTGTTCTTTCCTTTCATGTTAGGTATTTACCTAGGCCTCAGCTTTTCTGGATTTTGGGATTATGATAATACCACATGGTATAACATGACGGAGAATATCTATTCCGAACTCGAAGGTAATGCTTATAACAGCACCTTTAACTCCAGCATCTCCCTTACGGCGGTTGCTTGATCAGCATATATGAAATCTCTGCTTTGTTGAGAAGCTCATTTTTTTCCTACTTTTTAACCCGTGGCGTGATTTTCTTCTTTCAGATCTCATACAGCTTTCAGTGGTGGATATGGTTTTAACAAATCATTTCTTAGTTATGCTCACCTCTTTGGGTCTTTTTGTAAGTAGAGATCTTCGTCACCCGTCAGCCTCTGTTTTACAGGTAGGTGAACTGCCTTATAACTAATATTAACCTTAAATATCTTCCGTGACACGAAGAAGTATTGGATTTCTGAGCTATGTGTGGTACAGTAAGAACTGAAATGTTTCTTCCTTTTAAAAAATGTACAAGCATAATGCAGCATCTTTGTCCTTTGTGTGGGAGTGTTGAATATACAATCTGGAAATGATGCTAGCATTGTTGCTACACAAATTTATAAGCTTTAAATACATGTATGTAGAAAATACTTATTTATTCATTCTTTTAGTTATAACTACATATGTTCCCCACATACACTAAGGTAATATACTATTACAAAGAGCTCTGATGGCACAGTGCCTGAGGCATTTGACTGCTAACCAGAAGGTTGGTGGTTTAAACCCACCAGCCACTCCTCGGAAGGAAGATGGGGCAATCTACTTCCATAAAGATTTATTGCCTCAGAAACCTGTAAGGGTAACTACGGGTCAGAATTGACTCAATGGCAGTTGGGTTTTTTGTTTTGTTTTTTTTTTTTCTTTAGTATTAAAATAACATAATTAAGAATAAGTGTTGGAATCGAGAGAAGAGAAATATACGTTTATGTGAGCATATGCAATATGCATGCCATGAAGTTCTCAAACGTGTTAATAAATACTTGTCAAAGATTACCAGAATAGAAATAAAACCAGTGATAAGTATTTAGGGAGGCCTGGTGGCTCAATGGTTAAGTACTCAGCTGCTAACCAAAAGGTTGGCAGTTCGAACCCACCAAGCAGCTCTGTGGTAGAAGGACCTGGGAATCTGCTTAAGATTACAGCCAAGAAAACTCTGTAAAGCCGTTCTACTCTGTCACATGGAGTCAGCGTGAGTCGACATGGAGTCAGGCACCCAACAACAACAGTGAATATTTAGGAGCAGTAGGAGCAAAGACCACATTGCTGTGGAGTCAGTTCTGACTCATAGCAACCCAGTAGACAGAGTACGGGCCCGTAGGGTTTCCAAGGCTGTAATTTTTGCAGAAAAGCAGATTGACACATCTTTTTCCCTTGAAGTGGATGGTGGATTTGAACTGCTCACCTTTTGCTTAACAGTTAAGCTCTTAACAACTGCGTCATCAGTGCTCCTTGGAGAATAGATAAGGGGAGGTGAAGAAGGGGCAGTTTCATTGGTTGTGAGGCAGATTTTCCTTATACATAGTGATTAGCATCTTCCTTCAGGTATATGAATAGTCACAACCTTCCCTCCTGTCTCATCATCTATGAGAAAGTACCACTTGTTGTTTGGTCAATCAATTGTTATTGTTGTCAGGTGCCATCAAGTTGTCTCCCAATAGCGACCCTATGCACAGCAGAATGAAACACCACCCAATCCTGAGCCAGCTCCATGATTCTTACTATACTTGAGGCCATCACTGCAGCCACTGTGTCAATTCACCTCGTTGAGGGCCTCCCCCTCTTTCGTTGACCCTCCACCTTACCAAGCATGACATCCTTCTCCAGGGAATGCTCTCTTCTGACAACATGACCAAAGTATGAGATAAAGTCTGGCCATTCTCGCCTCCAAGGAGCATTCTGGCTGCACTTCCTCCAAGACAGACCTGTTAGTTTTTTTAGCAGTTCACGGTACTTTCAGCATTCTTCACCAGCACCACAGCTCAAAAGCATCAATTCTTCTTCGGTCTTCCTTATTCATTGTTTAGCTCTCACATGCCTATGAGGCGATTGAAAATACCATGGCTTGTGTCAGGTACACCTTAGTCCTCAAGGAGATATCTTTGCTCTTCAGCACTTGAAAGAGGTCCTTTACAGCCAATTTGCTCAGTGCTATATGTTGTCTGATGTCCTGACTGCTGCTTCCATTAGCATCGATTATAGAACCAAGCAATGTGAAGTCTTTAACAATTTGTCTTTTCTCCATTTATCGTAATGTTGCTTATAGGACCGGTTGTGAGGATTTTTGTTTTCCTTTATATTGAGATGTAATCCATACTGCAAACTGTATTCTTCAGCCTTCATCAGTAAGTACTTCAAGTCATCCTCACTTTCAGCAAGCAAAGTTGTGTTGTCAATATCAATATATCACAGGTTGTTAATGATTCTTCCTCCAATCCTAATGCCACATTCTTCTGCATATAGTCCAGCTTCTCAGATTATTTGCTCAGCATATATATTGGATAAGTATGGGGAAAGAATACAACCCTGATACACTCCTTTCTTGATTTTAAACTATGCAGTGTTCCCTTTTTCTGTTTGAACGACAGCCTCCTGGTCTATGTACAGGTTCCTCATGAATACGATTAAGTGTTCTGGAATTCCCATTCTTCTCAATGTTATCCACAATTTGTTATGATCCACACATCAAATGCTTTTGCATAGTCAGTAAAACACAAGTAAACATCTTTCTCGTATTCTTTACTTTCAGCCAAGATCCACCTGACATCAGCAATGATATCCCTCATTCCACATCTTCTTCTGAATCCAGCTTACACCTCTGGAAGTTCTCTGTCAATATACTGCTATAACTGTTTTTGAATTATCTTCAGTAAGATCTTACTTGCATGCGATATTAATGATATTGTTTGATAATTTCCACCTTCTGTGGGATCACCTTTCTTTGCAATAGGTACAAATACAGATCTCTTCCAGTCAGTTGGTCAGGTAGCTGTCTTCCAAATCTCTTGGCATAACCGAGTGAGTGCCTCCAGTGGGGCATCCATTTGTTGAAATATCTCAATGGATATTCCATCAATTCCTGGACCCTTGTTCTTCACCAGTTCTTTCAGTGCAGCTTCAACTTCTTCCTCAAATACCATTGGTTCTTGAATATATGACACCTCCTGAAATGGATGAAGATCAACCAGTTCTTTTGGTACAGTGACTCTGTGTATTCCTTCCATCTTCTCTTGATGCTTCCTGCATCATTCAACATTTTTCCCATAGAATCTTTCAATATTGCAACTCGAGGCTTAAATTTTTTCCTCATTTCTTTCAGCTTGAGAAATGCCGAGCGTGTTCTTCCCTTTTCGTTTTCGAACTTCGTGTCTTTTCACATTTCATTATAGTAATTGGCTTTCAAGCTGCTTTTTTAAATCTTCTGTTCAGCTCTTTTATCTTGTCATTTCTTCCGTTTGCTTTAGCTACTCTCTGCTCAAGGGCAAGTTTCAGAGTCTCTTCTGACATCCATTTTGGTCTTTTCTTTCTTTCTCATATTTTTAATGACCTCTTTCTTTCTTC